GGCTGCTGAGGCAAATGTTGCTGAGCTGGATGAAGAAGCACCTCCTTAGACAAGAAGCATCTTGCCATTAATGAGCATGTCCCCTCCAAGAAGCATGCTTGTCCCCCAGCCGCAATTTCAGCCTCCCCTGCTGATCAATGAGAGCAATGCTGCCACTTCTGGAAGAAGAGAAGAAGAGCAGCCAAGTTTGGATTCCAGGCTCAAGGCATTGGGAGGATTAAACAATTACAAGCATTGGGAGGCTCTCATGATGAAAAGAATCGGCTGCAAGGCCCTATAAAAGAGGGAACTGCACTCTCAGAAGACATCGATATCTCTATCTCAATCTCTGGTTACCCTTCAGTTGCCAAAAACACACAGAAAAACTCCAGATAGAAGGCAAGAAGGAAGAAGAAGCAGCAACAACTCAGTAAGAAAGCCAAGTTGAAGAGTAGCCAACCCAGTTTCTGCTTCAGTTCCATGAGTGAACCCTTTCACTCCCAGGAGTGGCTCAGAAATTGAACAAGCTTTTTTCTCGTCTCTTGACTGTTAGCTTGAACTTTGTTTATTATGCATACTTCTATGATGTCTGTTGATGTAGTAGATGTATCATTAATCTGTATGAGTAGCTAAACAGTTTCTAGGGGTTATTCTCCTCAACTTATGTCGTAGTTGCAATGCACTGGTTTTGTTTCTTGTTTTAAGGTCGAAAGTTTTTCTACATTCATTTACTTGATCACTAAATTGAATGCATGCTAGAACTAAGGGAGATCTGGAAAGATAAACTTGGTTTGGATTGTTTCAACTTTAACTTATGACATAGAGGTAACAGTCTTTGGTTTTAACTAAGATAGGAATATACTTAGTTAACATAAGCATTCTTGAAGGCCTAAGAACTTAATGACTTTGGATCTGGAATCAATCATTAGAAAATAGATTGTTAAGGTTGCAAGAATGACTGTAGGAAAAATGGGAACTGACTTAGAGTTATAAGTGAGCTGAATAAACAAGAGCTCAACCATTACAGTGCTAATAACAACTACAACAGTAAGAAGAGGAGAAGAATACCCCTGGCCTCCATTCCCCTGAGTGACTATTTCCATTCCCCTGAGTGACACCTTGTCTGATTGGTAGTCTTTCTTTACAACAAATTTGGTAATTAGCTGTCCTCGTGGGATCGACCTAGCTTCCATTATCTACAAAAATCATAATCCAAGCTAGTAATATTTTTGGTGAACTCGGCACGCACCAATTACCATTTAGATCGTAATCCAACTACGACTTACTCGCTAATGGTGAATCTTGAAATTGTTGCACCCCGCTAGGGATCTCAGCAGTTAAGCCTGCCAAATAATTCTTCAAAAAATTAGACTCGTTAAAATCATGTTTGTATTCCACGGTCTATTATATACTGAGTAACTCCCAGTTTTTTTCAAAAAAAATATTTTTGTTTTTTTTTTTCTTTGAAAAATTAACTTTCACTTATGCCTTGTATTTCTTCTGTACGATTCACCATATGAATTAATTAACCACAAATTGACTACCAATCATCTCTAATTTACTTTCTTTCTTCTAATTGGACAATACTAGTTGGAGAATACTTTTAGAAGAAAGAAAGTAAATTGTAATAAAAGATTGAAGAGAGTAACATTGGGAGTAATGTTATCTTAACATATTGTGATATGAATGTAATGTAATGATGGTGCAATTATACGCGGAAGTTAAGAATTTTTCAAGACTAGCGAACTTGTCAATCCAAAGAAAAGACTCCAAATCACACGAAAAAAAAAAAAGAAGTGATGCAAACCACAACAATTTGTACTAAAAAGAAGATGGAAAGTTCCGAACGATGTTATGACTAGCAACCCGATTAAACTACCTCTCTAATAACTCCACCCCTTTGATTTATGGGAGAATGGCTAGCAAAAATGCTCAAATGAACAACTAGCAAAGCTCCACATGTAGAGAAATGCCTAATCTACGTGCGCACATTAACAAAGTACAAACTAGTGTGCGATGTTAGAACAAAGAGTTTCCTCTCTTTTCGTAATGGAAATTAAATTCATCAAACTATACCTTGTGTAGGCCGAAATTCCCTCTATTTATAGTAAAGGTTGGCTGAAAATTGTCTAAGAAGGACTAAAAGAAATAGGATATTCAACTATATTGTCACAACCCGAAATAGGGCCTAGTTGACACACCACAAGTACAACGATGAACATTGTTCAAAGTCATACAAGTAAGGCAACATATTTATTCTTTAATGTCTAATATATTAAATTCTTGCCAAAGGGCTTACATCTTATTTATCAAAAGTAACTTGCAGCGGAAACTAAAAAATAATTATAAAACTTCTCGGGCTTTTTTTTCTTTCTCAAACATGGTGACAATCAACCATTCTTTCCCTGTCATTCTTCCCTTTGTAGCAACCGCCATCATTGTCACTCAAAGTATCTATTGGAGTGTCAGTACATGTAAGTTCAAGTATTCATAGGAACTTCAAAAAAAAAAAAGAACATTTCACAGCAACATGAGTATTTCAAATATCATTTCATAATATACATTCATTTCGTAAAATACATTTCCTTAAATAAAACTTTCACTTTAGTAAAAATTCACTTTCACATGAAACCGAGACGTTTCCATAAACGTCCACTCTCGTGAACTTTAGACATAACTTCAGAAAATCGTTCCTTTCCATATATATTCGCTTTTGCGAAATTGAGACATAGCGATATGCTTTATCATGATAACCTGTGCACAGTTCCGAATACAAGCCCTTCGAAATTCGGGACACTTTTAACTTAAAGCTACTCTCGCCTTTCATTACTTTTGGACTTAGGGACTTAGGGATTTAGGCTTCCCATCTTTTTCGTCCACTTTACTACTTAGGGATTTAGGCTTCCCAGCTTTTTCATCCCCTTTCACTTTTTGTGATCACTACCACAATATCGTACGTGTATATAGTCTCATTTTCAAAACATTTGTCATAAATCAGAAAAATATTTATCACTTTTTCAAACAGAACAATAAAATAAATATTTATTTCACATAAACACTTAAACGAGCATGTACATCGTTTGAGGGAGCGCACCTTTATAGCTTAAGCAACTTCTTCTTCAAGCAATTCAACACCATGTACAATCTTTTCTTAATACTGCTTCCTGAATGCTTAAACTGTTAATAGCCTTATCTAAAACTATTTTGATATTGAATATCATATTTTTTATATCTTATTTATGGTGTACTATGTTCTCTTTAGAAGTAATCCCCATTATAGATTGAAGTGTTCACAAATGATCCCCTTAAAATCATATCTCTTTCGACAAGATCTTCATTGATAATTTATCAGTTCAACCTTTCATACATAAAAATGCCTAAAAATATATTCAAAACAAAAAAAAACCCTTTGAAATGAGTTTCTAGAAAATTCCATAAAATTTCATAAAATATTTTTCTTCCCAAAATTTAATCAAAACCAGTCGTTCCTAAGATTCGGCAGAATAGAGTAGCAAACACGTTCCTTGCCAAATTAAATATCTATAATAGAAAATATTTTATAAATTTGATATTTTATAGAATACTTCAAGAGGTTTGTACATATATAAAATTTATAGAACTCCCAGTTTTGGTTATAGCGAAAAAGTTAAAAGAAGTTGACAGTCAGCATTTTGGACTCAAATATCAGTTGAGTTTAGAAACTCCATAACCCTTATTATACTTTTCAAAGATTGTTTCCTAACAGTAACCAGCAATGAATAAATCAAAGAAATCACACATAAATTAAGGATACAACGAGTGTAAAAGAAATCCACTCCGAGTCAATATGACTGGATAAATTGGAAATTGATTCCATTTACACCCAGACACTGGATCTCCGATTCACTTATCACTGAAGCGATCACTTGTGAACTTCGTCTACTAACACCCAACATTAATTTTGGTACAAATCACTATGGTAAATCTGCAGATTACCGTTCACTACCTTCTAGTTCCTCAAGCCGACGATCAAACCCGATGCCAACCCGCTGGGTTCGATTCCCTAGAAGGCTCATGGATCCACCTCACTTCACTTCCGTTTAGCATGCACATTCAAAAGATACATTTTACACAACTAACACCCAATAGTTTCAAATTAACACTTTCCGGGGCGATAAAGTACACACCCGGTCACACTCAAATCACACATAAGAATAAGTATTAATATTTTAATGAGAACACTCACCTCGATGATGAACTATGAATCACATCCTCTTGTGACTTAACTGCGATAATTAAATTACTATTAATTTTTCAGTAGAATCTTTCACCAATTTAATAAATTATCATATATAAGATCTATTAGTAAATTAGAAACCGCATTACATGCTCAACTAATTCAATAGATGTGGTTGTACGCGCCCCCAAAAACTCCACCAAACCGGCCATCTTGAGCTCTGCAATTACCGATTCTTGAACTCTGAAATCTGCAGCTCCCCCGAATTCAAAGCTATCAATTGGACAGAGTCCCTTTCTCACCCAATTTCAAATCAACCACGCCTAAATTCCAGCTGATTGAAGACGGCGGCCAACAAGCTCCTTTTTTAGAATCGAGCTGCAATTGCCGGCGTACATCTGATCGTGGCCGCATCTACCATTTTGTCGTTGCAGATTGGTTGCAAAGAGCATACGGATGTTGTATTGAAATCACTTCACAGCAGAAGCAATTGGTACGCGTCCCCAAATCTTCGCCCCTTTTCATCTAAACTGTCCTCAGTTTCAAATTTCTTGCCGAATTGTTGTAATTTTCGGTTAGAAATCATCAATCCACCAAAGACAGGCCACATGCAAGCGATGTCCCATTCCTTATAAACTCCTTGTGAGATGGCGAGTATGTGGTTTTGGGTTTGTTTACTCGAAAATTGACCGAGATTTTTAATCTGCTGCTGGATACTACCTCTCGGTGTTGCCGATCAACTGCAAAATCAACACCCTTTTTCAGGTTGCCGTTAAAATTGGGCTCTAATAATTTGCTATTTTGTATGGATGTATTGAAAATTTCTGCTAATGGTAAGGTTCGAAAATACGTAGCCTTTGCTATTGATTTCTTCAAATGCAATTGTTCTCTGCGCATTCAAGCCATGGGTATTGTCATTCCGAAAACTGTAGTAATTGGGGAGCTACTGAAATGTCAATTGAAGGGTCTCCAACAAACTGTAAGCACAGCCTTGACAAGTGGAGTGTCCACAATCATCATAAATTTGAGCCTAGTTCCCCCTCAAGATACTGAAAATCAACACAGAGGATGTAGGAAGAAACATAACCGGAGAAAGAAGCGCCATGGTCAATCGTTTTCACATAATGAGGTAGATATTGCACCAAGAGAGCGAATGGAATGGCGACAAATACCCTCTCCTATGTCATCCAGGGATCCTATTGGTACTGCTATTTCTGGGTTGGTCCCAAAACCATTGGCAACAACTCCTATAGCACATTCACATTCAGAGCCGGTGTGTCTAATGGAATACACCGTTGTGATTACCACTCTCACCCTAGAGGATAAATCTAGTATTAAAGAGGAAGAAGGTCAGTCCATTAATACGGCTGGTGTTGGGCAGAATGTTCTTTTGAAGGGGAACTCTACATCCATAATCTATGAGGCTGATGCACATAATTGGTGGCAAGGTAGAAAGGTCTTTGCGTCAATAAGACGAGTGCAATTCAAAAAATCTGGCACTAGCTGGCTGGAAAAAAATGGATCGTTGAAAACCTTAGACACTTGCCATGGCCCGAAGGTTCATGTTGTTCGGGATTGATAGAAAAGAGGAAAGCAGAGGCAGATGTAGTGGAGGAAATCCGACTTGGTAAGAAGAGAATGTTGAAACATATATGGATGCCAGGACGTGTGTACACTGATGCCTTCGCCTGGGCAGGACGTGGGAATACAGGGGACTCTAAGGTGGCCTTTTCAGCAGCAGCTTTTAGCAGCTCATATATTACTCCGGAGAAAGGAGGTGTGACCACAGGGGACTCCAAGGGGGCTAATTCAGCAGCAACGTTTAGCAGCCCCATTGATTACTCTGGAAACAGGTAATATCTCTAACATTACATTCTGAAGTGTTTTGTGGCAGTTGAACCATATCAACTTCCTTTGGTTTTAGGAATATTCTATCTTGGAATTGTAGAGGCATGAATAATGCCTCATCTAAGCATGTATTAGGTAGATTACTTAAGCAATATAAGCTTAGTATTTTGTTTGTAATGGAAACTAAACCAATAGGGCACATGTAGATGTATGGCAGCAATCATCAATTTATAAGAATTCTGTTGCAATAGATTCGATAGGTCGTAGTGGAGGCTTAGCCCTATTTTGGATAGATGGTGTCCACATTAGTGTACTTATGCAAAATTCAAATGTAATAGTAGCTAAAGTATGTGAAGCTAATGGGGTACAGTGGTTTGCTGTATTGTCTTCCCTCTCGGCAAGGAAGAATTGAATTTTGGAGCCAGTTGAGTGACACCATTAGAGGCCCAAATTATCCAAGTGTGATTCTTGGAGATTTCAATCAGGTTGTTAATTAGGAGGATAAGTTTGGGGGCAGACAAGTACGAGATCAAGATACTAGGGGACTTCAACAATTCCTCTCACAAAATGATCTTAAAGAGCTGGAGCATTTAAGATATTGGTACACCTGGACAAACAAAAGGCAAGCTCAGGGGGTCACTTTTGAACGTTTGTATAGGGCCTTTGCCAACAGCCAATGGTTAATCCATTTTCATAAGGCTATTATTCGAAACCTCCCCATTATGAGTTTCGATCTTGGTCTGTAGAGTTGAGAGAGAAAAGGAAAAGAAAGCAAAAGAATAGGTTTGAACAATTTTGGTCGAGCTATACTCGTTCTTTTGATTTGGTTCAACAATCTTGGTCTTGAGGAGGACTACATATAGACAACCATCAAGAGAAATTCTCTTTAAAACTAAACAAAAGTCTGCATAGTCTTCACAGGTGGAGCAAGGATCAATTTGGAAACATTGACAACCTCGTTTTGAAAATTTCTGACAAGTTGATGATCACACAGCAGCAATGGGAGGGCAACAAATCTAATGCAGAATTATGTACTCACCTAGAGAGTCAACGAAAGGAACTTGAGGAAGGACTGCAACATCAGCACGACTACTGGCAACAAAGAGCTAAGCTAGTATGGCCATTATAGGGGGATAGGAATTCAAATTATTCCATAAATGGGCAGCCCGAAATAAAGGCAATAAGTGGATTACAAAACTCAAAAATGGAAATGGTGAATGGATACAAGATCCAACTCAGCTAAGTTCACTGCTCCAAAACCACTTCTCATAAATTTATATGTCAGTGGAGTCAAGTACACAGAATGCTCAATCCTCTCTATACTTGAATGGTCTCTTGGACAATGTAGAAGAGTGCTTATCCTCAGAACAAGTTAGTTTCATGGATCAACCCTTCACTGAAGCTAAAGTCTGGACAGTAATAACACAAATGGATCCATGGAATTCTCCCGGTCCAGATGGGGATGCCCGCTGGCTTCTACCAGAAGTACAAAAATGTCATAGGCAATGAAGTGTCTTCGACCATTTGGACGCCATCAACGCGCAAAGCTTTCCTCCAGAATAGAATCAGACAAACTTGGTCCTCATTCCCAAAACCTCGAATCCGTTTAATGGGGATGATCTACTATTCTTCTTCCCCAACAAAGGTCTTCAGCAAGGTTGTCCACTCTCTCCTTATCTCTTTATATTGTGCCAGCAAGTTTTATCTTCAGCCATCACATCAGAGAGTGTCTCTTCCCAGATCTACGGGTTAAAGTCATGCTCCAAGGGTAAGTCACCTTATATATGCTGATCACAGTCTTTTCTTCATTGAGTGCAAGGAAATTTCAGTCCTCGCACTGGCTGGTCTGATTCAGGAATATGCTGCCTTTTCTGGCCAACGTATCAATTTCCTCAAGTCTTCAATTCTACTCAGTCCCAATACCAAACCAGATATGAAGAACTTTGTTCACTCTACTTTGAAAATACCTGAGGGACATAATCTTAGAAAATATTTGGGAATGAGTCTAGACTTTAAGTAGAGAAAGACAACCATTTTTCACTGACTTCACCAGCAGGCTTAGCAACAAATTTGCTGATTGGAAAACCAAACTCCTTTCTTTGGTGGGAAGGGTGACCCTGGCAAAGTCAACTCTATCATCTATGTTAGTCTATCCAATGGGTGTATTCAGGCTCCCGGCATCCACAATCCGGAAGGCTGATCGAATCGTTGGACGCTTTATCTGGAAAGACGACAGTATCACCAAAGAAATTCATTGGAAAGCTTGGAAAAGGATATGTAAGTCACAGTTCCATGGTGGCTTAGGTCTCAAGTCAACTAAAGAGTTAAACCAAACTTTGTTAGCAAAGCATGCCTGGAAAGTCATGTCTTCCCCAGAATCATTGCTATCCCGTCTCTATAGAGCAAAATATTGCAACAATGGTCTGTTCCCTCCTGTACAACCTCCAAGACAACCCTCCTGAGGATTCAAGAGTATCATGTGGGGAGATGAGATTCAGCAACATCATACTAAATGGAAGGTCATCTCAAGGAGGGACATCCCTCTATCAGCTAATTGAATTCCTGATACTCTGAATCCAACTGTAGCTCACTCCACTTTAGCCATGTCCAACTTGACCGTGGATAGATTTATTACTCCTAATGGTCATTAGAAGACTCATCTTCTTAGAAATTTCTTTCCAGATGATATTATCCCCCACATTACTGGGATTTTTTTGGATTCGGCAAGACAACATCAAAAAGATAAGCTCCAATAGACCCTTACAACACATGGTAATTATATAGTCAAATCAGGATATCAGTTGCCATCAACACTCTCCTTCCACAACCCATGCCAAGTCCAGCAATCTAAAATGTAGAGAACCTAGCTTGGAAAAGACTTCGGAATTCTGGAGTTCAACCTAAGCACAACTTCCTTTTCTAGAGAGCATTACTCAATGCTCTTTCTACAAGATCAGAACTATGCAAAAAGAGAGTTCAAGTCGACTCAATATGCCCCAGATGTGGTAGACAGGAGGAAGATAGTTTACACTTATTTTTTAAGTGCGTAACTTCTCAGGCCATTGGGGTCTTGGCTTTTCCTCTGTTTGGCTCTATATTCAACTCCACGTATGACTCCTTACATCAATGGTTCATCTGTTGGATTCAGTCTCATCCCACTAAAGAGGAGGTTGATTTGTTTATGATCATCATTCGGAGGATCTGGCTGGATAGGAATGATAAGATTTGGAGAAACCAATCTAATGATCCGGCAGTATCTTGGAGACTTATCCAAAATGAAGTCAGTCTTCATAAACAAAACCTTGGTAGACTGAGAGCTGCAAGGTCATCTCCCAATGCCTAACCCCTCGGGGTCTAACAGATTGTTTAGTGATATTTGATGGGTCGTTTAGCCATCAATTACGCAAGGCGGCCAGTGCTTGGAAGATTCACATCATGGTATGGTGATGCAAATCAAAGCGATAGATCTAAGTGTACTTTCTCCTTTTCAAGCCGAGGTAATGACTTGTCTTTTGGCTTTGAAAGAGACACTGTGCTTAGGGATCACTCGACTTCAGGTTTACACGGGCTGTGAAGCTTTGACTGATAATTTACGGTCTTCTTTAATCCCTTCTGAGGTCCAGGAGGTGATTTCTTTGTTAGTTACTACTATTTTCTCATTTTAGTCTTGCTCAATGATTAAAGTGAGTAGGAAACATATCGTAGAATTACATAATTTAGCATTCCATAGAATGTGTTGTAATAATTTAGGTACTTCTTCATAATTAATATATAGGTACCTTCTAAAAAAAAATTCAATAACCGTGTACATAAAGTTCATATTTTTCTTTAAATTCAATTGGCCAAATCCCTTTCCAAACTATCTCAACCAAGGCCTGACAATAAGTCTAGTTTATGTTGGTCCAAGTTAACCCAAGTAGGTGTTATGTAGGGGTTTTGGGCCAAATGAAAACAAATTACATAACCCAAGTAAAGAAAACACTAGCCCGAACCCTCAAACCCATAAGTCTAATTAGAAACAAAAAGCAATTTGTCACGACCCGGGGGCCTTGGAGGTGGCCGGAAAACAGAAAAAAGGAAGAATTGCCGGAGATCGGCGGATTAGGGTTCGGGAATTGGGGGAAAACAGGGAAGAAAGAGAGAGATTGGAAATATCCAATTTGATATTAAAATTTTCCATAATTAAATTACAGACCCAGATGACTATTTATAGTCCACCCATTTTCTAAATTGACATTCTAGTCCTTACATTTCTATTCCCTATGATTTTAGTCCAGGGGCATGACAGACCCTTCCCCTTAAAACAGTCTTGTCCCCAAGACTGTAATCACTAAAATCGTACTTAGTACAGTTTTTAACAAAAAGAACTTCACAATAACTGACAAATAGCAGCAAGGAAAAAAAGACTAAACACTGAGCACCAAGAAGACAAAACAAAAACAAAAAGAAATGTGGAAATGCTGGCGTTGGACAACTAGTAGCCAGTTTTCTGAAACTGAAGAACCGCCGGAGTATCGCAGGTCCCTTCGGAGGATGCACCAAGCGATCATCCACACAAAAGTTGAGTCATGGATGGATATCTCAGGTTTCTTCTCTTCTTCATAAGTAGCCGTCTTGCCTCTAAAGCATGTTGCTTTTTGAACGCAAGCTTTCATTTCCAAAGACGTAGCTATTCCTCTCAGCAGACCCATTTTGAATTCCTTCAAGTTTATAGTAGGCAACAAACAATAACAACAATCCATAGTTTCAAAGTCAGCGCTACCTTTGAAGCTTGTCGCTATGACTTCCCATTATCTAATAAGATCTTTTGAGAGACCACTTGCTGATCCAGAAATTTATTAATGATTCTACGAAAGTATTCCCAGTTGCCATTCCAAGTAAAAGACGTGCCAATCAGTTTCAAATTTGACAGAAAATCATGCCTTTTTTTAACAGAATAAACATGCAATTGTGTCCACAAAGCATTTGATTCATCACAAAACAGCAAAACAACATCGCAACCGAATGGA